TTCTTTTTGCAACGGATTGTAGCTGAAAATTCTTTAACACATTCTATACAATTCTATTCTTCTCAAAAACCAAACGTAGATCACACCGCAAGTGAAATATAGGTTTTCTACACAAAATCAATCAGACGCAAGCATTCACTTCATAAGGGAGAATTGTTTAAAAAAGTTTATGACGACAGAACTGTCTTAAAAATATACAGTTAATTATAAATAGTGACCAGTTCACACAAAATTACGTTGCGAATAGCTGTTCAGCGAATTCAAAACATATTGAATACAGATTAATATAAAACCCAGATTTACACGAAATTTGAGTTGCATTAAGCATACTTTATTATGAATCCAGAAAGTTAAAAATACCGTAATCACAAAAAATTGTTCTGAATAGACAATTAATCAGCAATCGAGCTCTTCCAAAGATTATTATGAAATATTTACAAATTATCAGTATTCTGTTCCATTTTTCTAAGAGAGTGAATAAAAAATGAAAAGAATTTCAAATAGAAATCATAGGCTATCATTTTTAAATATCATCACTAACATACAAAGAAATAAAAGGCAGTATTCAATCAAACATTTCATTCAAATGATGGAGGTTTTTCAGCGAACTGCCTTTTAAAGGATTTAACCCTTAACTTCACAATTTTTAAAATTTTTATGAAAAATTATTTCACAGCTATATATGTATATAGTTCTCATGTAATAATAAAAGGGGAAAATATATAAAAAAATTAAGCAGTTTTAAATTGAATTTCAGTCATTTTTTTGTATGTTGCAGAAGTGCAGCATTGCGCAGTAGTGCTGTAAATTACAAAGCTTTTTTTTATATGAGGATTTTATTATTCATCATAAAATGTTTAAATTTCTTATTTGGTAATTTATTTCGTCAATAAATAAGAGGAAGCCTAAAATATATTGGATTCTTTTTGTAGCAAAAACACAGTTCTTGAGGCATCAGAGATTTTTATAATTGTTGTGATTTCTAAAAAAAATGTGTTTCCATCTAGTGACAAAATTAGCATGTATTTCGTTGCTGTAATCCTTTTTTTCTCAGATAAGTGATTTGTAGGTAATTAAAAAAATATTGAGTCTATTAAATTAAAATAAAGCATATGTTCAGAAATACAACAGTGTGAAGTTAAGGATTAAAAAGTATCCTCCGACGGTATCTGAGGATCGCCAACTGATAGAGAAGGCGTTGTTTCTGTTGGAATCTTAGTGCTAAAGAACTCGCTGTGTAGAGATGAAAACTGTGGAGATTTTAAATGAAATCTTCATTAGCTTCACGATATAGGAAATATGGGATACATTTTATACTAGAAAAAAATGGACCAACTCAGATAAGATTCTCGTAATTCTGAACTTGGTGAAAGGACACACCTGATGTGGACGACAACTGAGCCTCTGTCTAAACTTTCACCCCACGCAAAGGGATTTAAACCCCTTGATACGGTGGGATTTTAGTGGCACTATTTGGACGCTAAGAAACAATCAATCGACCGGTTCATCTCGGTTTATGAAAGTCAATTGAGTTAGGATGGACTGTGGAGAAAACCTTTTTCTTTCTTTCACATCATGAAAACTTTTCTAGAATTGAATCATTTCGATTAGATTGGAAAACAAGATTCGCACGGCATTGACTTGATTTTATATCTTATACATATTTGGGTGTAAAATAATACTCTTTTTCCGTAAAATACCTATTTTTACGTATTCTAAATCATTCTCTGATCTAATCATTAATGGACATTTTTATTACTCGAGAAGAGAGCGTCACAAATGTGTCTTACGTCATGACTTTAGCTTCATCTATGAAATCATCCTCAGACATGGTTCCTTCTTTCATCATTTTGACAGCAACATCTATGTGGCCTCGCCATTTTCCTTTGCGAACCACCTGAAATTTACAATTGCAAATCATATGCCAAATTCAACATGAAAATAAATGAGACGAACTCAGAAAAAAACTTACTCCAAACTGACCGCTTCCTAACTCTTCTAACAAGGACAATTCAGATGCATCGATTTCCCATTTGTCTAGAAGAAAAGGCCTCTAAATTATTTACAATCTGATAATAAAATAAGGAAAAATCTGAATAAAAAGAATGAAAATTTTTGAAACATTTCATTCAGGAGATATATTGATCAGTAAGCACTCATCGTTATGGTACATTAGACAGACTCAGGTTTGTTGAGCTCTGATGGGTTTGCAGTCTGGTGAAAATTAGTTTTAGGAAAGGAAAGATTAGTTAATTCGTTGGTTTTATCGGCGTTATTTGATTAAACTGGACCAGACATTAGTAATTCATGTGTCTCATCCGGACACAATTCTTAAAAATGTAAAAAAAAGGAAGAAATGGATTCTACCCTTGCCCTGAAAATCCTGAAACACGTCTTCAAAGTTCGTCAAGACTCAGTATGAAATAAGATTCACCACTCAAAGCAATTTCGCTTCGGATAGAATTCAATTTTAATGCTTAAAATGCCCTTGTATAAATTAACATGAGTCCGAACAATTAAAACCATGAGCTCAGATCTTGCTTTTGGAATCTCCATTTGTGGTTACGTGGACATTTATAAAATGCATTCAGGAATTGTCCTCTTGTGCCTATCGCTGCCTCGAATCGAATAACGGATCTGATCCCAATCTGTTCTCCACTATTCTTCCTGATATTGAAAACAATAGAACTAAAGAGATATTTCTCCCCTTTAGAGGTCTTGAACCCCGAAAGCCATTTTAGTGTCCTCATGTCTCAAGTGGAGGAAAAATTGCCTTGTCAGTTTTTTGTCATAAAACATTTTCTCTTATTCCCATTTCATTGATATCCATTGGAGTTTTCTGAAAATGACTAATAATTCACTAGATCTTAAATATTTTTAGAAATAAAAAAAATTCCTATGCATAAAATCTCAGCATTTTCCAATGGATTCTTATTTTTAACATTATGTCATTATGAATTATAGAATGTTGCAATCTACAGTCAAATGTACGAATGGTTATAAAAAACCTGCGTGGTAGGTAATAAGTAAGTTTTCTACAGTTGAGATTTAAAGCACATTCATTTCACGTTCTGGAATTCAGAAGCGGCTTTCGAATGAGAACAAAATGGCAAGCCATAAAGAAAAATTTAAAAAAGAAGAAAAGTTCAAGAAAAGTTTTTTTTGTTGCAACGAGAGTGCAGCACTGATGAAAGACAGCAATACAGCTGACGAAGGACATTTTCAAAGTGAAGAAGTGAGTGAGTTCAAATCAAAGCTAAAAATCCTTTTTCACCAGAACAAATAAAGAATCTGAAAATAGTGTTCGTACCAACTACATGAGAGTAGAAGTAATTGCCAAGCATGGAAAAACTATTTGCTGATGAAGAATTTGTAAAAGAATGTCTTCGGAGTACAATATTTCATCACTTATCGAATATTTGCGTGTCTGGTGTAAAAGTAGCGAGCCACAGGGAGCATCGAGTCTGACGCAAAATTTAAGTAAATGTGTGTTAGACTTCAGGAATATATCTGTTATAATCACAGATGATTTTAAATCCATGACTGGAGAGAAAGTAAGAGTAACCACATTACTCAAATCTGATGGCAAGTGGAAATAATACCATGATGATTTTCCACTGTACCATCCACCAAGAAAAAATTTGTACAGGAAGTACTTCTCAAACTTTGAACATGTAAATGAGTGTTTTTGTAAAAGTGGTTAATTTCATCCAGTTTAAAAGACTTAATTGCAGGCAATTTCAACATTTCTTGAGTGATTTGGAAGCTGAATATGGTGAGCTTCTGTATTACGCAGAAATACTTTGGCTGAACTGTGGAAAGATGCTGCAGTGCCTGTTTTCTTTCAAGAGCAAAGTTCAATGATTCATGGAACCTGAAAGGAAATCTATTCACGAGTTTCATCATGAGAATTGGTTAAGAGACTTTGCACTTCTTGTCGATATTTACTGGTCATTTTAGCTACCGCTTATTGGTAAAAGAGCTACTTGTTTATAAACTTGATGACTCTGTGAAAGCTTCTGAGACCAAATTAATCCTGTGAGAGAGACATTTACTAAATAAGAATTCTATTCATTTTCCAAAATAGATGGGTCGTTGTAGCCGGAAGATCTCAAACCATTTTGTACAGCAGAGCGAAGAATTCCATGTGATGAAGCAAGCTTTTCGCGTGAAGGGGCGTTCAATACACACAACGCGCATATGTGGGCCTTAAACAAGCCACACAGCATCCGATCACGTGCCGCACAACAACGCTTCATTGTTAATATGTAGGCAAGTATCGTGGGAGACAGTTGCCTTGGCCCCTATATCTTACCGACTCGACTGAATGGCAAGTATTTCGTCTTTCTACAGGAGGTACTTCCGAAACTGCTTACAGATGTTCCAACAGTATGTGGTTCGACGCCGCATGTGGTTTCAACAGGACGGGGAGCCATCTCATTATGGAAGGTGTGGATATGACCATTTGGACCAGGAATTTCCAGACAGGTGGATTGGGCAGGGTGGTCCTATCACTTGGCCTCCTAGATCTTCTGATTTATCTCCTCTGGAGTTTTTTCTCTGGGGTACCATGAATTCACCCGTCGATTCTGAAGTGGACTTGGTGGAATGAATATCCAAAGCCGCTTCTACAATCCCTAGAATGCCCGGTATTTCAAACATGTCCGCCAGTCCATGTTGCGTCAGTGTCGTGCGTGCATACATGCCAATGGACGCAATTTCGAACATCTCCTGTAATACTTTTATGTTATACTTTTTGTTTATTATGGTTTTATTTGTGTAATAAAGCATTTTACACTACATTTTGTGTTATGGCCCTACTGTCTTTGTGTCTCTTTATCTCGTTAGGGGTACGCGTTTCCTCCTATGATTTCCTATGTAATTATGGCTCCTTAGGATGTCTACTACCTCCCCTAGAAGATTGTATCCTGTATATATATATATATATATATATATATAGATGAAAGAGGTTCCGTATCCTCGTGGTGAAGACGATATGCCGTGGGACATGGATAGGCCGAATCACAACTGGCACGGACTAGGGAAACCCGAATGTCTAATTAAAACAAAGCATTGCGACGGCCAGAGACCAGAGTTAACGCAATGTGATTTCTGCCCAGTGCTCTGAATGTCAAAGTGAAGAAATTCCATGAAGTGCGGGGAAACGACAGGAGTAACTCTATGACTTTTTTAAATAACCAAATGCCTCGTCATTTAATTTGTGATGATCATGAATGGATCAACGAGATTCCCACTGTCTCTCTCTACTATCTAGCGAAATCACAGTCAAGGGAACGGGTCATAGGGGAAAGAAGACCCCGGTCGAACTTGAATCTAGTCTGATTCTGTGGAGAGGCATTATTGGCATAGTTCACCTCTGTGAACGGAATTATGAATTTGATAGCCTTTTTTACTGATACAGTCAAATTCTTTAATGAGGTCCCAATAGGAAGCTCTAATTATGTGCCCCACTCGATGAAGGCTGTGGGAAAGAACTCCGAAGACAGTGTCAGGCAGGGAGTTGGTCTGATGCGGAACATATATCACTAATGGCAACGCAAGTATCCCAAGGCGGCTCAGCCGGGACGGAAACCTGGCTTGGAGTAAAGGGGTAAAAGCCGGCTCGATCTCGTTCTTCAGTAAGGAAGGGGACCCCGAAAGCGGGGCCCGTTGATCCTTCCTTTTTTAAAGTCTAATGAGAAAAGGGACGGAAAATTTTTTAAGGGATAATTGACTCGCGGCTTCCAAACGTTCATAGCGACGTTGCTTATTGATATTTTGATGTCGGCTCTTCCTATCATGGTGAAGCAGAATTCGCAAAGCGTTGGATTGTTCACCTACTAACAGGGAATGTGAGCTTAGCCTAGACCGTCGTGAGATAGGTTAGTTTTACCCACAAGAAGACCAGTTGGTACGATGGTAAAATCTGCCTAGTACGAGAGGAACCGTAGGTTCGGACATTTGGTACTGCGCTCGGTTGCACGAAGCTACCCTTCACGAGAGAGGGTGAGCGCAAAATGGCCTATGCCTTTGAGGTCCCGCCTAGACTCCATGGTTCCTGCTACTACGAGCATGCCTTCGCGCATGTGTGATGTGTGTGGGCGTTGAATTGTCAGTAGACGACTTTCCCGCTGGTCGTAAGTAGCAGAGCACGCATCATACAGCAGAGAATTTACTGACACTCTCATCCCATTTGCTGGATTTGTTGGCTCCACCGGTGCCCTTTTCTTCTTCTTGGTGGGGAGGGGGTTGGAGGTTTACCGGTCCTGGTGACCATATGATGCTGCACGAAGTGATTCCTAGAGTGTGTGGCAGATGGAGGTCCCTGTATGCGTACTTAAGCTGTGACAAATTGGTGCATGAAACTTGCACAGGATTTACTTACCCGATGAACACGGAAAATTCCTGATAAGTAAGAATGAGTGAACGCCACACAAAGTGATTCCTAGAGTGTGTGGGAAGCAGAGACCTAGAGCGGGGAGGTCTGTTTGTTAATGCATGACAGTTGACTGTAAGGCAATGTAAGCTGTGAAGAGAAGCGGAACTGACAAATACTGATGCTATCGGGGCCCGGATGTAACTGCCTTCACGTTGCAAGCGCTGAACGTTCCTATAGGTTGAACTTGGCTCACAGCTGATGTATTTCCGTTATCGGAAACGATCGCGCGAGTTGCGACGGTCGAACCCTAAGACGTTCGAAACTCTCCTTGTCTGTGGCAAGTCTGTAGTCCTGGTTTTGATAATGGCAATTCCTATCCCTCCTCTACTTCTAGGTGGGGGAGGAGGCTTCTATTGTCGTGTTCCGGTGGAGTTGTGAATTGCACCCGACCGGGAGGTCGAGTGGATGATAAAGCTTGTGTGTCAATGTGCCTCATTTCCAGTGCGTTTTGACAGTTGGAAGCGAGCTACACACTGTCTTTCGTGAGGTCTGAGCAGAGCTCCGGGCGCACTTGGAGAGGGTGAGGAGTTGCGCGTGGCGAGGGTGGAATTATATATGTATATAGTAAAATTGCCTGCATAAAAATGTATATGCAGGTTAAACATTTTGCCGATACTACTGGGCTACTTGGAAAGGAAATAGTACTATGAATATGTCATCATTAGAAGACTAAATAAACTAATGATATGATTAATTAAAATTATATATCAGTAAAAATTGGATAAAACTACTTACTTAACGCAGAAAATCAAAATATCAGAGTATAAAGTTCGATATTAAAGTACTTAAACACACCCCCACTATACATTACCATTTTAATCCCTTCCCTCCAACAGGTAATCTACTTAGAGAAGCAAGGCAAAAAGTAAAAATTTGTATATTAAGAAGATGAATTTTAAATAAACCTTTGTATACTTAAAAACCTGAATTATTATACGGAAACTTTTGGAATAAAGAGGACTATATCAATCCTAAAGAGCAAAGCTATTAAAAATTTTAATATATTTACATTCATTTAACGCGTAGCGCCATCTTATGCCTGTATTGAGTACTACGCTGATACTAGCCCACACCCCCTCGGTCATGTGATTTTTCCTGGATGAATATTTCAACTCCCTTTATCTCGTCTGGCGTCACACTCTTAACTGAATTTGGACTCGTCCGTAAACAGCCAATCCCTTTGCATCCAATCTCCCCCCTCTGCACGATATCAATGACCATTGGACAACCCACATGAAGCGGATTGTTTGGCATGAGACTCTCCGTCATGAAAACTGTCTTGGATCATATCGATTGTTTGATCTTGATCAAGGATACATAGGTCAATATTTGCAGGGGTTACCCGTGGAAAACTTTGTCCTGCCGACGTCGAACATGCCTTGTTGATCAGAATCGATTCTACAATGACACTTATTGCCACTCGAACAGCAACTATTTGTTTTGGGCCGGATTCAATAATACACCAATTCCAGTAAATCACGTCGTCGGGACATTTTAATGGCATCTTTTTTTAAATAACAGCCGAATCTAACATCTGAGAGAGCGAAAGAAAAACTGTTACTATGAAATCCCGATTTCTCCTGGTGTGTCACCTCATGGATGTTAATTTCCATATCAAGTTTTCTGCTACATTTTAGATGTTTTGTTTTACATTAATTACCAAAAGAAATATTGGCGTAATTTCGTTCAATCTATGTGCTCCCCTAACTTTTTTAGCAGTACATATATAGCAGTCCCAGGTGTCGAGTGATAGCTTATCGAGCTTCCACACCACAGGTCCTTGGGCTGAGCAAGGTCGACTCAGCCTTTCATTCCTTCAGTGGGTCGATAAATGGGTACCAAGCTTACTTGGGGGCTAAGCACTGGGGGTTTTGCTTCAGACTGAGCACCTGATCTTACTTACTTACTTACTCCAGAGAATCGAGCTTACCCAAAGGGTTTAGAGCTGCATCCGACCCTCCGAGAAGTATTTTATTATCAAATTAAACGAAAAACATGTACAAAAAGGTCCCTTCCCCAAAATTCTTGAGAATTGGGGGAAGAATACAGAAAAAAACGCTTAACAATTACAATGCAAATACAAAAAAAAAAAAAAAACACTTAACAAACACAGACAAGAACACACACAGGTGCTATCTTCTAAGGAGAAGAAAAGATCCTGAAACAGACATACAGGACATCTACTCATGCACCTCAGCGTCCTATGGTCACGTATACTGAGATGGACACAGTAGGCCTTGGCTCTCATGGGCAGTTGCGCCACTGAGTTTAGCTTATATATAGCTGTATAGTATATATATATATATATATGAAGTAGAAGGCGCTACGGCGCTACTGCAAGCCCCCTAGCATCCCCCTCCCAAGTGGCTTCGAAAGGAAACGAGAGGGCAATGACTCCGACGGAAAGGGGCAGCGAGAGAAGGGACATGAGAACGGGAGAATAAGTTGAGACCGCAAGGGGAAGCAGATGCATATCAGCAGAGCTGCGCGCGTTATATCTCTTTAAAATTAATGAAAGCCAATTAGGCAACGACGTTTAAATGTTCACTTATAATTCATTAATTATTCTTCTTCATTTTATTCATTCTTATTTTAAAAATAAACAGATTATTCTGTCAAAGGAGTTTACGAATTCATCCCAGTAACAACATAACATATATATATATATATATATATATATATATATATATATATATATATATATATATATATATATACAACAAAAAAGGTTTAGTTTATTAAAGTTTTGAATAGAAGGAACAACAAGTAGTGTGATAAATGTGACAGAGTAGAAAAATGTTTCTCAGCTGAAATAAAAGGAAGGACATTGAAACGTGCATCTGAGAAGCTTCGTATCAAAGGCTTCCTCTTAAACTATTTACACTGGGAAAAAAATCACAACGATAAAGTAAATTAAAAGAACCTTGACAATAATTTAATTATCTTTACTTCAATACAGTTCATGAAATGATAATTATTCAGATACTAAAAATCAATAAACATAACATATATCTAATAATTTCTATGATATTGGTGTTCATTTAAGATGTTTGAAATAATCCCAAGAATTTTTCTTTACGCAAAAGTGAAGGTATTTCAAAAGAATCTGAATCACAAAACAAATTTTGTTCTGAAAGATAGAGAATTAATTTACACCTTTGCTCTTATTCTTTTCAGGGGAAAACATTTTACAGGCAGTTACTTTAAATGCAACAAAAGGAACTTTAATTTCATAAAGATGAAATAATTTTTAGCATCTCTGATGAAAATTTTAACATCTTCTAAAGATTTTTGTCTGTGACAAGAAACTCTTTTGAAATATCCCTTTTGAGTTTCTTAAAAATCCCGGTAAATGTCGCAAGAGAATGTTTGATGAAATACTTTTTGTCTGTTAATGATCCCAAGAGAATATTTACCATGACTTAGGCCAGCTGTGGTAGGAATACAGGTGATTTGACCACTCGGTGTCTGCTTCAGACGAGTAGCCAATCCTGCACTGTTGTGTTGGTGATAGTAAATAAGATCTTCAACTGCAGGAAATGCGTGCTTTTCAGACAAAAAATACTCTTTTTTGTTGTTAGTTTTAATATGATAATGCTTCACGTGAGGTTGGGAGCTAGAAAAAAGAAGAAAAAAAAGCGATAGATTCCTTTGAAATACAACCAAATATGAAAAAGGATTTTTCAGCCACTTTTAAAATCCATTAATTGAATAGATTAGTAAAATATACTAACTCTAGATTCCAGTCCTATGCAAAATGAAAGAAAAAAAAAATTTTATTTTTGAAATAAGAAGGTTCACTGGTACAAAGCGTGACTTTTTCTCGTGACGTAACTGTAAAAGAAAAACTCAACATTTCTTTTAAAGTTTGTAGATTGGTTGGGTTCTTTTGAACCTTTTATCTCCTTTCGTAATGCTTTTAAAAATTCTTTCTATTGCCTTTTTTAACAATCCATTGGTGTGAAAAGCTTAAACAACACGTATTTTGTTTTGCCGTAACTCCACGAGAAATCATCTGAGAAACATGAAATTCAGAAATGAGAGGCGATGACGAAAGCGTAAAAAGGAATCCAACAAATAACTAGTATCTTTCCACATGTCCACGAGGAAGAACAACAAGTAGATGTTACTTAGTACGGAATATGCCCTCCCCTTGCAACAATGGTTGTTTCTCTCCGTAGTCAGCGTCCAACAGTTCTTGATGTAAGATTCCTCAATAAGTATGTGTTTTACTTATTCAGTGCTTCTCGGATGATGTAATCGGGCCGCAACGTGTCTCCCCAAAGCATCCCACACATGTTCTATTGCATTTACACCAGGGGAGAATGCTGGTCAATCCATTCTTCACTTACCAGTAACTGCTGAATATCAGTAGACCGGTGTAGTTGTGCATTGTCATCCATAAAAATCAAGTGGGTTCCAATAGCGCCTCGGAACAGACACACATGGAGAAGGATCACCTTCTTACAATAGCAATCTCCGGTTACAGAGCCTCTGTCGAAAAAGTGGAGCTCAGTCCACCGGCCCCCTCAGATGACGACTCCAAGATCACCATAACGGTCTCCTTCCATAATGTTACTAGGATGAAACCGTGTCCCGGCCTTTCTCAAAGTCAACCGGAATTGAGAACCGCTTGTAGCACTAAAGCGACTCTCATACATAAAGAGAATATCGCTGCAATGATAAGATGTC